AAGTAATTACTGAAAATCTGGCCCATTTTGAGTTATCTAAGTGGAAAGAGACTCAAAATCTGAATTTTTAAAAAGTGGATATTTTCCCCCTCTGCTCTTGCGTAACACAAAAATGGCTGATAATTTTCCATTCATATTTCCCGGGGGGCCTAGCAAATTTCATCCCAAAAAATAATTTGTTGTAACTAATATTGAAAGACCAAGCCAAAGAGCCTTGCTTATTATTCATTATTTGTATTGTGCTAGTGCTAGGAGGCCCAGTCCTGGACCCAATTGTACTGGGCACTGTACAAACAGAGAACATTCCTTTCTCTTCCACAGACTTTCCGTATGACCTTTGGCAAGTCACTTTGTCTCTCTCTGCCATATTTCTCTACCTGTAAAATAGGGCTAATAGTACTTCCCTACCTTACCTGAGTGTTGTGAGAATACATCCATTAAAGACTGAGCTGCTCAGATACGATTGTAATGGGGCCATATAAGTCCCCTAGCTAGACAGTATATAAAGACAGTCCCTGCCCCAAAGAGCTTACAGTCGAAGTATGAAAGAAAGAAAACACTCCCAGATGCCTTTCAGAGTTTGCATTAGAAACATTAAAGACAATAGGGTGTTAATATGTACAGATGTCTGAAACTTGAAATAAAATTACATCGAAAGAGACTGAGACCAGGTCTACAGCAGGAGTGCTTTATCAGCATAGCTATACCGGGGTACTATACCGACAAAGCATTCCTAGTGTGGAAACAGCTTACATTGGTAAAACTGTGCTTTTGCCTTGATAGCTTATTCTAGCCTCCCGAGTAAAATAAGCTGTACCAGTAAAAGCACAGGTTTTGCTAGTATAACAATGTCTATATTAGGAGCTTTTGCTGGCACTGCTACATCTGTCACAAATTACACCTTATTACACCCCGACCGATAAAAGTCTGTAGCGCAGACCTGACCTAAAATACCAGCCTTGCTAAGCATCTCCCGTATAGTTACAGACTTGCATTTGTCTCATGAATCACGTTTTAGTTGGCCCCCAGCAACTGTACATTGGAAAAGAAAGAGGGTGAGCTGTACCAGGGAGAGCTCCTGCATTGGCATGAGGATGGACTAGATTGCCCCAGGGGTCTTTTCTTGATGGCTACACACAGCAGTGTTTGAGGTAGGATCTAGGTTAGGTGTAAGTGAGGGTTAAGAAAGCAGGTTTAAGGCCAAAGCAGCAATAGGGTTCAGGTACCAATATCTTGTGAGTTATCTTAAAATCCCATGAGAACAACAGTTCTTGTGAGACTTTTGCCACTTTGTGCTACATCCAACTCAGAAAATAGGCATCTTCCGTTTTTGGATCTGTAAGAAAAACCATAGCTACTATTTCAGATCCAGGGATTTTCCCCCCATCCCTTCCCTGTCTTTTAAAACGGAAGGAGTGGTAGATCTCAGGATCTCATGTTCAAGTCTGGTTGATCTGTATCTCTTCTATTACTTTTGCTCTTTCTTTGAACGTTTCCAGATTCCTGTGGCATAGGAAATTCCAAGAAATGACAGTGGCTATATTGCCTCAGTACATGTTCCACATCATTTCTTCAGTCTTAATTGCAAAAACTCCCTGGACTCTACACCTCTCTCCCAACTTCACCGTGTGTGCCACCATTCATACAATTCAAACAGGAAGACAAAATATCAGAAAAATCACTACAGCCATTGAACTCAGACCTTTTTACCTGTCACATTCTTCTTACGTAGGAGTTACACAGCATGCTCTTTTAAAGCATATAAATCATGGTATATTTAGACCTGGCCATCAGAAAGCTTTATGCCTTGTAACTGATGCTAAAGGACCTTGACAGCTTCTAACTCTCTTGCCTCATTACTCTTCTGAATGTCTATTTAATACGTTTGATGTTCTTTCTTTACTAAGCTAATAAAGTGATGAAGTATGACAGAGGTAGGATTTCATTGGCAGAGGATACAACTGAACAAATCCAATCTCTAGAGGTAGTAAAAGGAAGATACGAACTTTCATTAAGGACAAAGCCCAGTTTTGTTTTTACTGAGAGGCTGTAGAGATGATATCTGAGCCTGCTAAGCCTATTAGATAGAAACACTTTAATAGAACCCAGTTTGCTGCACTTACCAAAAAACAATTCTACTGTTCAGATAACGTTTAGAGATCTTATATATATAGTTACAATGTAGTGTAAGACAAGAAGAAAGTCATGAGACTAGTTGGGAACAATTCTGCAATCTCCATCCAATAATTCTAAAACTTTTAAATTCACATGATTAGATTACCATTTTTATTCTCACTAGCTCTTGGTTTTTATAATTTGTAGGTAATTTACAGTCAGGTATGAATATAATCTCCTGCCCTAACAAGTTTACATTCTAGATATAGATTTTACATTTCCTCCTTATTCACATCTTGTGTTTTGTTTTTGGTTCACTGACATCCTTACAAGGCTGTGATGGCTACATTTCAGATTTCTAATACTTAAAATTCAAAGATCCAGAAAAATGATTTAGTATAGAACCAGCTTTGCATGAACTAGTTGTCTCAGTCCTGCCCCAAAGAGCTTACAATCTAAGCATAAGACAAGATACAACAGATGGATACAGACAGACCAATAGGAGAGTACAAGAAAACAGTGAGACAATACTGGTCAGCATAATAGGCAGTGTAATCTCAGCACACCAGTGGCCCAACCCTTGTCATGTTTTTTGTAGTCATCATGGCAAAGGAGAGATTTGAAGGAGGATAATGAGGTAGCTTTGCAGATGTTTACGGGGAGCTCCTCCCAACCATGACGGACAGTTTGAGAGACAGCACGAAGGTGCTTGTTTGAAAATGTAAAGGTGTGCGATGAAGGCTGGCATCATGGATGATTGGAGGTGGGAGCTGACCTCTCGATAGTGGATGAGAGATGATAAAGTGAAAAGAAGTAGCTTATGTTTGGTGCTATAGAGAAAGGTGAGCCAGTGGAGGGATGCAAAGATGGGGGGATGTGGACAAAGCGATAGGCTAGGGAAATGATCTTTGCCGCAGCATTCTGAATGGATGTGAGTAAAGACTGCATTTGTCAGGGCCAGAGAAAAGAATATTGCCATAGTCAGGAGGCAAGAAGATGAGAGCCTGGATGGGAGTTAGCTGTGTGGATGGATAGGAAAGACCATATCTTAGAGATGTTATGTAGAAAGAAACAGCAAGACTTAGACTTAGATTGGATGTGGGGACCTAGAGAGATGATGACCAGGTTATAGGTTTGAGTGACAGGCAGGATGGTGATGTTTTCTATAGTTATCAAGAAAGGAGAAAAAAAGACATCGCCAGATGGACATCCGTTTGGTGACTTACAGTTTATGAAATGAGTTGATGGTCTCTGTGACTTCAGATCCCAAAGCAATCAACATGGCACCTTTCAAGAGCACTTTTAAAACGTATTTAAAATACATAGCAAGTCCTATCCAAAACCTTAGTTATGTAACATTTCTCTTGTTCATTAGCATTCTTTATTCACAGGATGCCGGGTGCTTCCTGTATGATTTAAAGACTGTCTCCAGCTGTGAATGGAAGCGATTTAGCATTCAGCTACAGGATCAACTCTTCTAGCTCAAACCAGCAGATACACTGTTACATTTAATCCAGACTTCCTCATAGATATTCAGGAGTTTTGACATTGACTTTAATAGGGCCAGGATTTCACCCATAGTATGTAGCAAACAGGAAACCCACTTCCAGCAGTTGTTTTATTAACAGTCTTCCTTTTAATAAGTGGGATTTTATTTGTGGTGGATGCACATAAAGTAGAGCGTTTGGAATAATAAATAGACTTTTAAAAAGACAGTTCTGTTATTGGCTGGATGCAGAGGTTAAACTCAATTACATCTCATCACATTTCCATAAAATAATTGAGCGTCTGTGTGAGTGCAATCCAAGAAACAAATGATGTGGACAGGTTCATCTGGCTAGCTTAATTGCCTTGTGCCATGGATTTTGTGAAGGGATTTGAGAACCCTGTCCTCCTTCTGGGTCAAGCAATGTCTCATTCCATGAAAAATATACTGTATTCTGGTGTAAACACTTGCAAGTACAATTTTAAATTTCACTTTCTCTAAGCTCTTGTGTGAATAAATCTCGAATGCTTGTGTGCAGACTTCAGGCTTTGACTATTTGAATATTCAGAGTTTGATTCTTCCCTGAAAAAAATATGGCATCATTGTGTTCAGTTTACAAGTAAACCAGACTCAGATGCGGTGGAATTTGTGTCTTTCTACTGCATGTGAGGTTGGGAGCAGGATCTGGGGGAATTTGGGCAGCAGACCCATGACCCCTGCAAGCTGTGAGGCAGGGTTTGTCCACTTGTCAATAAGACATCAGTGTGACCTCTATATCACAAATGAGTCATATATGATATTACATTAGTCACTGAGTCATCCAGCTGGTATCCAGAGTTCTCCAAGGAGCAATGACCCCAAATTAGTACCAATGGCACTTACCGTCCTGTGCTCAGAGTAGAAAAGGTGTAAGTTAAAGTTGCCTTGAACCTAAGCAAATTAGGCTGAGGCATGCTTCTGCCCTAAACCATGAAACTAACTACTGTCCACTATCCAGTAGATGTTTATATTAAGTGAGGTAAAGACCAATAAAACAATAAATTTTTAATCCTTTTTGAATCCCACTAAACTCTTGGCCTCAATAACATATTGTGCCAATAAGTTCCACGGGTTAATTATGAATTCTGTAAAAATATTTCCTTTTTTTTCAGTTTAATATTGTTTGCCTTTCCATTTCATTGGGTGTCTCCTTGGTCTAGTATGAGAAAGGGTAAATAGGAGCTCCCTATTTACCTTTATAATCTTATTTTGGGGTATTGTTTTTAGATCTAGTTTCTGCCATATTCTCAAAAGGATCATCACTGGTTTCAAAATATATCCTTAAGGTCATGGCTCCTTATGTTGTAATGTAACATGCAACATGTTACCTTCAAAAAGCAGTAAGAATGAATGTAGTTACCGAATTAAGTCTAGCAATGCATCTGCAGAGCTCATAATTGGCTTTCCACTCTCTTCGGTGTTCTCCTTCTGGGCTGCTCCACCAGGATGGATAATGGAGACCATAATTATTCCCACAATCACAGCCACAAATGTTGTCCATAGATAGTAAGTGACGGTTATGATGCCTAATCGACTGGAAGTCTTAGCATCCAAGGCTGCTAGTCCAGACATTAAGCTGTAGAAAAAACAAACACAAAAAAACACACAAAACATATACTATCTTTTGCATATAATTAGTACAATGTAAAACCTCATTTCTTAATTATTCTAATTTATCTGTGTCCACCTGAGTGCCTATATAATGATGCTTCTGGAAGGAGCTTTTAGATCCAGATGTCCTAGATTCAGTCCCCAGAGGTGACTGAACCTGGGACCTCTGGATCTAAGAGCATGTGCCTCTACTGCCCAAGCTAATAAAAACAGATCCTAGTAGCTTGAAAGAAGTAGCAGTTTCACAAAACTCCTTGCATGGTCTAGCAACTAGCAGGAGACAGCCACACTGTGCTAATGTGGGTTACACATGGTTCCCCCCACTGGGAAATCAAATCACTGCTGTGGGTGAGTGGCTAGATTGGTGGATACCTATGACTTCTTTGACTACCAAGACCACTAATTTATGCAGACATACGCATCTTCATTGAAATATTGACCCTAACCCTGGCCATAGGCTGTGGAGCTGAGGCTGCCACCTGGGTTGTTGCCCAACCACCTTTTGGCTCACCACAGCCCAGTTTGGGGCAGGCGATCCAGTGGGGTCAGGGCCAGGAAAGGAGTGGGCTGGTGCATCATAGTGGGGATGACCTTGCTGGCACATGAGAGCCAATGGGCTGGAACAGGGAGCCAGGCCAGCCCTGTGGGACAGGAGCTGCTGCAGGGTGAATGCAGGGTGGGCTCGCTGTCCAACCCCCTCGGCTGTTCCTGCGTCACCATGAATTTCATCCCTTGCCTCATATTATAAACAGACATGCTTTCTTCTTCCTATTAGTTTTTTCCCCTCGATATGTTTGTAAAAATCCATTCTCATTCCCCTAGGCCGTTTTGGCTAGTATTACATTGTTCTACTGTTTTGCTGCTCTTCTTTCCTATAAGCTGTAACTGACACTGTGCATTCACATTTGGGTGTTTCCACCTTTAAATCCATTAACGAGTGTGAGTCACTCAGCTGCTATGGTAATGGACGTCATAAGTACCGATGATAGATACAGAGACTATTAACTTATGAAGAACAGGAGTACTTGTGGCACCTTAGAGACTAACAGATTTATTTGAGCATAAGCTTTCGTGGGCTACAGCCCACTTCTTTGGCATCTGAAGAAGTGGGCTGTAGCCCATGAAAGCTTATGCTCAAAGAAATTTGTTAGTCTCTAAGGTGCCACAAGTACTCCTGGTGTTTTTGCGGATACAGACTAACACGGCTGCTACTCTGAAACCTGTTATTAATTTATGGTTAGTACTCAGAATGCTTAACTTATGGTTATTACTAATATGTGGTTAAAATACTGTTGCTGAGTGAATAAACTGACCACAGCAGTTTGTTACTTTATTAGTGAAAAAATAAACTAACAGGCGATATTCTGTTTCGCCATTCCAGTAATGTATCACCTTATTCTCAGCCTCAAAGCTCCATGTATATTTTGGCACAAGTAAAATAAGTACATATTGACTGCTCTATGAATGTCAAGGGACCCATTTTCAAAATTGCCCATGGAAAAATTGTGTGCAGTTGGCACCTAACTTGTACATGAATTTACTCTTCTTGCACGGGCAAATTGGATAGTTACATTAAAAAAGGCCAGTTATATGTTTAACGGGCTATTTGTGTGTGCAATGACAAATTTGCAGAAGCAACTGCGATAACCAAATGTGCAACCTAGGCAGGTGATTGTGTCTAAAAGCGTAAAGATTCAAGAGGGCTTTGCCATGAGCCCTGTGTCGGGGCCGTGTGGTGTTGTGCTTCCCCAAGAGTAGACCAGGAAGCAGATTGTGACTCCTGCTTCCCAGTTTCCTCCTGCTCTAGTGATGGGGTCCCACATTGTACCAGCCCTCTGCTTGCTACAGTGACCTGGTGTAGCTGCACTGTCCCGCACATTGGGGAGTGAAGCCCATACCCACCCTGCCCATCCACCTATGTGGGAGGGGGGAGCAGAGGCTCTTCAAGCCCTCAAACATCACACAGCTGCCTTTGTAGTGCTTTACTGCTCCCTAATTTCCCTGCACAGGCACATAAGACAGGCCACCATCTAGCCCTAAATTTGTTCAGCACTGCTTTGAACTAGGCCCAGGATCATGAAGATTTATGTTATCCCAAGCTGTGTTACGATCTACTAATAAACCTGGAAACACCAATATTTCACTTAGCTTTGGTTAATGTTTAATTTTTAAAACAATTTCTAGTTTCTTTTAAATATAGAGCACAGTAAAAAAATAAAATTAAAGGAGCAGTACAACATGTTGTCAAGTTTTAGTGTGACTCTTTCATGCAGCTGTTATCACTATGGAGAGTTGCTTGTCAAATCCTTCATCACAAATAACTATTTATTAGCAGACAACTCCTGATATTTACAGGATCTCCTTCATCTTGCACTGTTTGGTGAAGTTGTCTAGAGCTGAAGTGCAGCTTAACCTTAATAGTAGATTGAATGAAATAATAGTGGTGGGATTTAATGCTCAGGTTCCTGTAGATTAATCCAGTAGATTAATTAAGAAAATGCTTTGTTTTTCTGCTTTGCCAATCTCCAGTCCGGCATGTTTTGTTATCAGTTCAGAGCAGTATTGGGGGGAGGAAGGGCGAGTATTGTTCTAAAACAAACAAAAAACTATTTTATAAAAGTGAAGTTAAATATTGCAAGTAATCTAACTTTCACAGGGTCGTTTTATGCAGAATAATTTTGATGTTAATTCGACTACTAGAATCAAATTCTGCTCTCCATTACATTCATACAATTATACTGTTTTTTGAGGTGTAACGGAGAGCAGAATTTGACCTTTAATTGTCAAATGGCCCCTGGAAGAAGATTGAAATGGCTTGATCAAGAAGATGCACATTTGTTCTAAAGCTGGGTTACAACTTTTTCAGTTTAACAGCATTTGCAAACTGTTGCTGATTTTGTTCAAATGTATTCGTTATTCTTAAGAATTCACTGAGTTCGCTTGGACTATTTTCCATTTGTTATTCACATTATATGATTAATCAGCTGAGTCACATGATATTGATTCTGTGCAGTTACTGAAACAAAACTAATGAATAAATCACTTCCAAATAATTAAATAATAAATAATTTAAAAATTCATGGACCTCTTGAATTGTGAACATTTTTACAAATACCCTGCCATTTGTCTGAATACCCATGAACAATTTGATCCTACCAACCCGAGTGAACTGAACTGTGTGCCTTTATTTGCAAAAATATGAACAAATCATTTTTGGAGGATCACCCTGTCTAGAGAAGATGGAGGAATTGCCTTTGTGCCCTAAATACAGGTTAACACCTTTTGAATCTAACACATAAATGTACTGACTCCTATCAAGCTACATAAATAAAAGGAAAAACTCAAATGTCTCTGTAACATACAACCAGTTCTCTAGTTTCACACCAGTCACCATTTTAAATTATTGTTACTTACATTACAGTGCCACCCAAAGCCCTTAATCAGATTCAGGGGTCCTTTATGTTAGGTATTGGACAAACAGAGGTAGAGGGAGGCACTGATCCCATGGCTAGCAGATCTGTAACTAGAAAGATGTGTTCTCTGGTGTGGACAGGGCACTAGATGAAAATACTTTGGCTCTATTTCTGGCTCTGCCACTGACCAACTGTGTGACCTTGGGCAAGTCACTTCTCTGTGCTTCTGTTTCCTCTCTTGCCCTTTGTGTGTCTTATCCATTTAGATTGTAAGCTCTTCTGGGCAGGGACTGTATTCTACTACACTGGACTGTCAGGGGCCTAGGCTGCAGCAGAGCCAATCTCCTGGCAAACTAATGAGTGCAGCTGGCCCTGATGGACCTGCGCCTGCCTGCTCCAGCCCCCAGCATCTTTCTGACTCTCAGCTGAGAACCTCAGCTCCACCTTCTAACGGTGACTCTGGTTAACCCTTCAGCTTAGGCTTCTTTTTTTGACTCTGGCTCTGATCCCCCGCTGTGCTTTTTAACCGTGACTTCAGTTAATCCAGTGGTCCCCAACCTTTTTCGTCTGACGGGTGCCAGACGACGAGCCACGGAGGACCGTGACAGCGGACGAGCATCTGCTGAAATGCCGCCGACAAGTGGCAACGTCAATAGGCGTTGCCGCTGAAATGCCGCCGATTTTTGGCGGCATTTCGGCGGCGACGCCTCTGGATGACGACAAGCGGCGGCATTTCCGTGGCGATGCCTATTGACGTTGCCGCTTGTCAGCGGCATTTCGGAGGATGCTCATCTGCCGGCCAGTACGTGGGCGGACTTAGACACCCCGGCGGGCGCCATGGCGCCCACGGGCACCGCATTAGGGACCCCTGAGTTAATCTTTTGGCTTAGGCTTTTGGTCTCTGATGTCTGGCTATGGCCCTTGGCTTCTCTCCTGGATCCGCCACATCTGGATTCATCTCTAAGTGATAGGCCAGACTCTTGTTCCAGACAGTAGCCCAGACCACCTATGACTCGGTTGCCGACAGTTTAAGCAGCCCAAAAGATTGAACAAGGGCAGGTAAGGGGCCAGACTGCCTTTCAGCTGGATTCTGCAGAGACAGCCATCTCCTTGCTGGACATTGTGGGAATCCTGCAGACTTTACAGGCCCAGGTTATGGCCTTGCTGATACAAACTGAAGCCCTACAGGCTCAAGCCATTATGCCCAAATCTGCTGCCCCAGCTTCTACGGAGATTCCAATGCTGGATAAGTTTGACAGGAACCGTAACAAGTTCTGTGGCATCATGAACTTGTGCCGGCTCCTGTTCATGTTTTGGCCCCAGTCATTCTCCACTGATCAGACTCAAGTAGGACTTATTATTTGTTTGCTACCTGGGGAGGCCCTGGCCTGGACATCTCCCTGCCTGGAGATTTTTAGCCCTCTTTATGAAGAGTTCATCTAAGCCATGGTCATTGTGTTAGGTGATGTGAATCACACATTGTCTGCCAACAGCATACTTAGGGGACCACGTTAGGGGAACAGGTTGATCACGATGTTTGCTGCAGAGTTCC